ATTTATTTCCATCGGAGTGAAATCTGTTGTTTGGAAAGTTCATCATTGTGCAATTGTTGCGAAAAAGATTTGTGAAATTGAATATTGAAAAGCTGCTACACTGACAAAAAAAATTTTCAAACTAAGTAAATAGATTTACTTAAAATTATTTTTTTACTGAAGAAAATATTTATTCTATTAAAATAAAAATATCAAATTTCCAGTAAATCTATGTATTATATTAAGTAAATTAATTTAAATCGTTACATTTTCTACATTCAAATAAAGATTTCATGAGATATAGAAATTTATTAAATGAAATAATTGTTTTTTTTTAATAAGAAATCCACTTTTTTCGCTGTGAAAATTACATCTCAGTAAACATTTTATAGAATTAAAGTAAAATTTTTTTAATTAAAAATGATCTATTCTTTGATATTTCATAAATACTTAAATTAAAGCAATGTATGATTTAATTTGTTAATTTTTTAAATTTAAGTTAATAAGCTATTAGGACCCACCTAATGAAAAATTTACTTGAGTAAAGCAATATTTTTTTAGATTAAGATATTTTTTGATCAGTGTAGGTTACATTAGGAGAATATATCTCGTAACAGGGGACTTTCCTCTGCTATTTGAATTCAACTTCGTTAATAATTCGAACGTGCACTCCGGAGCTTTATTGAGAAACGCGACACATGAATTTCAATTTCGCACCGATGGTCCTTTGTTATTTAATATCGGGAGAGGCGTTGAAACAGCTGGTTTTACGTTGAATCGATAAGCGCAAGCAAATTTACCGAATTATCTCGAGGAGGTATTGTAAATGTCTCTCGACACGTATAAATAGGGGACTACGTTTTCTCGACGGAAACCATTAATCGTACCGCTCCCGATTTTTTTTACCTCTTTACTTACGATAAGCGAGTTAAAAAATTGATGGACGCGATATCGTGCAGCACAGGTAGCTCGGATGCTCTTCCGGATAGACGGGCCAAGACCTTCAGACAGCGCGATAAGATTCGAGCAGCAACGGGAAATTGCCTTTTGCAGGCAGGGCAATAACTTGCTAATTGACTTTGGCGAACTATGCTAAACTTGACGCTTCAACTTTGGCGGACAACTGACGTGCTTGTCGGCAGGCATCGCGATCGAAGGCTCGAGCGATGCAGCCGCGATACGTGCGTGCCAAAGGGAGATTCACTTTCCGCTCGCTCTCGCGCACTTTCCCACACACGCGCTCTTTGTTTCGTAGCGCCGACCACGGCCTCTCTGTTACACAATGTACCGGCGATGTGTACTGACTGTGAGTTTAAGCGATTCATTGACTCCCGGCCGACCATTGGCATCGCGTAATGGCTAAATATGATTCCGCCGAAACGTGCCCGTAGCGTTGATTATCTTATTCGATAGAGTCAGTTGGCTAGATATGATTTGCGGACAACGAGGTATCTGTCAGTTGAGAAAGGAGGCGATAAAGAATCGTTACAAATGTATTCTCTGGAGACACTTTGCGCACACAATAGACATTCTCACGTTTCATTTTTGTGTAATGAATTCAATATTAGGAAAATGTACGCGTTAATGTTTTAGTTGAATTCAGTTTGCTAGTTGTTGGGAGACAATTCGATATCTCAATATTTATATCCCATCTTTACGTTTTGCCACGTCAAATGAAAACGAAGAATACGCGGATGATAATTGTGCAATTTCTGCAACAGGAATGTGCTTGAGTTAATATTTTTTTTTTTATAAAATTGCGCTGATACTTGGAGACCGATACAAGCTGCACCAATCACACGCAGCGACTTCAAGTAGTAAACGTAGCCTGGAATACATAGATTAGATAAATGCCGCTGACTTGCTCTTACATCAATGAGAGTCCGCTTCGTGCCAATATATTTATTAAAACTTCCTGATAAAATCAACAGGAAGAGAAATTATTTAACGACTTTACACTGGCTGGGTGGTTTAATTTAACGATTCAATTCCAACGTTTCGGTCATCCGGATTGTGGTCCTTTTCAAGGAAATGTCTACAATTTGGAGAAACTTATTATTTATAAGCCGTTCGTACAACAATTGGCAGTATAGCCACCGGGACGGAATGAGATTCGCAACTCTACGCTTACATATATTAGTTAAAAATTACGTTGTAAAAAAGATGTCCGTCTCTGAGTATCGGTCGGAGAAAACTGTCTTCGAAGGCACGTCCATCCGACAAAACTACTATTGAAAAAAATTCATATTTTTATATTCATTTAATGTTGCATGCAATCGATTGAATCAACGATGTTAAAACGGTCACTACCGCGCGCAAAATAACACGGTAGATTGGAATTAGAATTTACTACTCCGTGCTCCGCGTCTCGTTTGGCCTTTTCACTCCGACGAGTCGGGTTTCGCAAGAGCCGTCGCGCCACGGTTGACCTCTCTCGATTTCACGAGACGAGATCCGACCTTTCTCTTGTCTGGCATAATTGTTCTCTACCGCATTTCTTTCCCACTCTTTTCCCACGCAGCTTTCCTGCGGCTCCGCTCGTGCCCGTCGCGCTTCCCGTCGGCGAACGTCGCGTGATATTTAAATGTCCACGGGTCTAGACTCAATCAGAGTTCGAAATGGTAATACATATTTCTGTGTAAATCAGAAAGGGTATAAAGATCGCATAACGCATTTTTGCATTCTCGATAATAGATTTGTCGAAACCACGCGCGTAAGCTGATAGGAATCGACGGCAATCTCTTTGTTCTGTACGTACGCCGCGGGGAATAAAACGCGGAAAACAGTCGTTATTACTGTCAAACACGTTATATCGCGTGACGGGATATAGTGACATTTCGTTCTTGGAATCGTTTTGCCCTGTCGTAGAATTTATTCAACCATCGCAAAACTTTATAAGCGTCGTGTACGAAATCTCATTTCGTTCGGAACATTTAATTTCTGTTGATATAGCGCGTTGTCTTTTATGAAATACAATTTTCGCACCCGAAAAGGCATATATTTCCTTAGAAAGAGAAACCTGGACTCGTAAGAGTCGACAGAGTTAATTTTTTAAATTCGCGGTGTTTTTAAACGCGTCACAATAACAAAGGAATTCTTCGCGGCTTTCATAAAAATTCTGCCAGAATCATCCGTGTACGATGAATTAGATTGTCAGATCTATAGGAGAATAGTTCGAAACGAATAGTCCGTGATTTCGTGACGTCGGCTGTAGAGGCCCCTCTGACTCACGTGGGTGCAGGTACTGCGATTTATTTCGATGCTTGCGTAATGTCGAGGAACAATAGATGAATTGCTGGAGAACAGCGATAGAATTGTTTTACTGGCTAAGTCGATTCTGCCAGGGAAGGTAACCCGAATAGACTCGAGAAATCACGATCACCCTCGCTGCAAGTACCGGCTGCGACGACGTAATTACGTACTATTTATAGTATCCTCCGTGGTAGTGGGTCGACGACCTCTCCGAAGACAAGGCAAGACACTTCCGGTTATCGTGACATTTACCTCGAACGTGATTTCGCTGCAAACAATTGTCTTATCCCCGCGCGCGCACGTCTACGATCGACCGGAGTCCACCCGAGAGACCGTTGATAAATTTTAACATCGATTATCAGCGGTAATTAGCGTAGCGATCGATCTCTGCGCGGAGATAGGATACCAGACACCCGCTCGGTAAATTTCGTTTGATCGTGAACACGGCGTTATTTTTCTTTTACGCAAGTCTAGAACGAATAAGGCCCGGTTTCACCGAGCGTCGCTTAACTTTAATCTAGGTTTGTCTCTTTCCTAAAGTAACAGTTGGAAAAAGACAAAGAACGAATTAAACTGAGCTTATAGTTGGGCGACGTTGGCGAAACCGTGCCTAAGTTTTATGCACACATACGTATGTATTTGCCGAGTGCGCTTATTAATTTCTTAAGTTGTACGAATAATTTGTACAATAGCCTTTACGATTTCTTTGCTGCGTGTTTGACGTGTGTCAGATTGTCTTACCGCTTTTTGTCCTGTTTCTTTGAAGCGATTTGCCAGCATATGTTAATATTTTTTATTTGCGGATAGGCGATTATAGTTGTGTTGTTTCTAGCACGTGAACGCGAGACTTTTATTCAGTGAAGGTTTAGCGCTAATTTCTATAATTTATTTATTTTTTTTAAAATAATTTTGCAGTACACGAAGTAACTTATCGATGTGAAACGTATGACAAAAATTAAACTTGTGAGATTTTTTTTCGCAGTTCAACTTTAAGCGCTCTTAAGGAGTCATACGGCGGTATTTCTTAATTGGCAAGAATTAAAATACAGTGCAAAGTAACGAAAAAGAGAAATGTCAGAAAAGATTTCTATTAAATCTTGCTGGGAATGTCGCTCGCTCGCTGTTTCTTGGTGTCTATAATCTCCTACTATCACAAACTTGCTTAATCTATTAATATAACGATTTTCTATTTCTCGAAGCGGCATTTCGTGGTTAGATATTAACGTTCGGAAAATCGGGCACGTTGATAATTCGAACGGGAATGGTTTTCATCAACGGTGAATAAAACTCTAAACAGTTATTCGTCGGTTAAACAGCCGTTGTTACGACGACAAAGCTACAGTCGTGAATCTCTGTATAACCAAAGTTAGTTTTAAGAGATTCCCAAATAAGATTCGACTAGTTTACTCGCCGGGAAGGATCGGCGCTTATTGATGGAGATAACAAATAGCGAACAGGAGTTATTTGTCGTCGGCGAAACCAGAAAGCTCTCGGAAGGGATCCGGGATCTTAGAGCGACTGACGAATGACTGTTAACCGCCGGTGAAATCCAATCTGGGGAAAACTGCGGGACGGAGATTAATCGAATCGCCAAGAAACACGGAAGCGAAGACAACGTTAATCGGCGTGGATTAACGTTAAACTCGGACGACTCCGTAACCATGAGAGTTAACCGATATAATAATAACAATCCCTCTTCCCCTGCGCTCTCGACTACCGTCTCGCCTGCCGAATTGGCTCTCCGCATTGGCACGTGACTAACCATGAAGCCGGCATCACTCGAGCACCAGCGAGCACCGCACGTCGACGACCTCGAAGACCGAAGGTTGGGACAAGGTCGACCCTGCAGCACCGCCGAAGCGGTCCGCGTTCGACAGCTTCAAAAGGTGACGCTCTATAGAGAAAGAAAAGAAAAACTCACAGAAAAGCACGAGTCGATCATAGGGGACGATCAGACTGCGGGATCGGAAGATGTTGCGCGTCCAAGGACGCGCGTCCCCTATTAAATTTGCAAAGCTTGCCGGAGGACCAAGTAGATCGACCAAGCTTCGTTTTGAAATAGTAGTAAATTAGATCGCACCCCCTGCGTTCACTTCCCAGCCGAAATATTTATCCCCGCACTGTGTCGTTTATTTCTCGTTTGTGTCTTTAATCCTTTGTAGGATGAACACAATTGGTTAACGGTTTCAACTCGAGAAATATGTTGAAATAATGGGACCTGGGTTAACGAGAAAACGTTACGATCATCGTACAATTTGATCGCAGCAAAAAAAAAATTCGAACAATTAAGGATTCAATCGCGAATCGTTTATTTTAACGAATCGCTAGTACTTAAATTCGTATTTAGTATGTTAATACGCCAACATTGTGTGACGAGGTAATGACGAAAACTTAAACGTGAAAAAATGAGCGCAGCGCTGCAATGTTTGTTTCTTCTACAAAGGGTTAACGCAGTTGCAATCGCGCCACAGCGAGTGCAACGAACAAACCAAATGTCTGCACGTTTTGTGACCCCACACACTTGGGACGATGATACCGTTGCCTCCTTGACACGATTCATATACCTTGTGTTCCTCACAGTTCTGCATAGATCGTAGTACTGCGTGCAAGAGTTAGAGTAACGCCAGTTAACGCTAGAAAGAGCAAAGCGTGTGAACTAATCGTCAATTGGCATTTGCAATAGATAACTCAATTTTCTTGTGCAAAGTTGTGTCATTTTTTACTTTGTCTACTTTCGCGTGAGTACGCGTGGTTGTGTGACGGTAAGGAAAATGTTGGTTAGGTTTACGTGAAATGTGCTGGTCTTCTTAGCGTTGACGCACGATTTTTACGTTAATGTCAGTCTCTGCGTGCATTTATTTAATTGTCCGTCCATCGTCACCGTAAGTAAGGCTTCATTCTGTCGCACCGAGTCTGTAGTGTAGTCAACAGGTTTTACGGTAACGGGTTACGGATCCGACGTCGCCCATCACGCCGCTCACCAATGCGCCCGACATCTCATTGTTCATTTAGACTTGACGCGCGAGCGACATTCGTCCACAATAATCGGGTCTCTTGTTTTTTTTTTCCGATTACAGCACCACCACTCAGCAACAGTCCACTCAGAACAGCAGTTCTCTGAGTCCTCAGCACGACCATGCCTGGCTGGATGGTCTCAACAGTCCTCTCATCCAGGACGAGGGTGACAGCAAAATGCTGAAGCTGCGCTTCGATGTCTCGCAGTACACGCCCGAGGAAATCGTCGTCAAGACTGTGGACAACAAGCTACTGGTGAGCGAAAGTATTCAAGTTCAAGCCACGAAGCTCGAGCACCTGACGATCCAATCGCCGTTTGTTCGCGTCGACTGCAAGCGTTACAGAAAAGGATTCGATGTTGAAAATATTTTACTCAGCTTCTCTTTTTTTTAATCTTGACATTTAGTGGCCGCTAAGAGTCTATTCTTAGACAAGTACAAATTGATTTGGTCGAACAATAGATGTTACTCGCAGCCTAGATCTTACAATTTACTGCCGCGCGACTTCTCCCGGTTCATCTGGCAACCTGAAATTATTACGCGGTTGACTCATCACGCGCGATGTGCGCCGTCTCTTGCACAACTTGGCAAGGTGCAAATCTGGCTCAAGTTTTTGCGCAATTGGCGAGGACTGGCGCGACACAAAGTTGTCCGCCGCGCGCAATGCGCCGTCATAAAGCGAAGTTAATTACTCGCGAATCGCGCGCCATCGTAGTTTTTCACAGATCTATTCATTTACTCAGCTTGTAGTTCACGTTCGTGATATCCGAGAATCACCGACTTCCACATTTTACGATATCTTCTCGTAATAGAAGCGCAAGGTTCGAGTAAGCATACGAGTTATTAACTCCCGAGTCAATTGTTAAATACATGAAACTTTAATTGTATCATGACGGTGCAAAGACATGGTATCTAAGTCTAAAAAAAAAATTTGCATTTAAACATCGTATTCAGTGGGAGGGACGGAATGAGGAATACTCGTCGGTACTTGCGGATCTTCATGAACTATGTAGAGCATTGTAATTGATTGCGTTACGTCACTTCCCGCCAGGAAAGCGACCACCTCGTCGGACCAACGCGATCGAATTCGTACGAAGGGAGGCACCATTTCACTTCGCGGCCCTCGCGATTAGCCTCCTTGGCGAAATGTAACTTTATTCCGCTCGAACTGCAGCCGGCAATCGAATATAAATTCAACAGTTTATGCGCCGCTTCGTTCACGTCCCGAGAATTAGAATTTCAGCGGCAGGAAGTGAAATATCGGGAGCGAGAGAATTCCTCGGGATTTCTACGCGCGTCTTCGAGATCCGTCTCTAACGTTCCCGCGCCGACCTGGACGGAAATAACCGTCGCCGAAAATAAACTCACGCCAGTCGTCATACCGGCGGACCGGAATAATGTTCGGCCATTGTGAACAAACAAGCCGAGATGCGGGACGGTGCGCGATTACGCTTATGAATTACACAAGAGACGTGTCGCGTAAACACGTAATACTCGGGCAGAAGCAGCGTAACGCGATTTTTGCCGAAACTGTTAAATCTAATGTTGGAAAGTAGGGGCCAGTTTCGCAAGCGTCGTTTAACTGCTAACCGGAGGTTAATCGATTCTCTCCTTAGGCCCGATTTCACCAACGTTGTTCAACTTTAAGCTTACAATTAGTTTTTTGCCCCTTTTCAACTGTTACTTTAGAACGAGACAAACGTGAATTAAACTAGGATTAAAGTTAAGCGACGTTGGACCGGGTCTAAGGCCCGATTTCACCAAACCTCGGCAAATGTTATAGAATTATCCATTTATTTCAATAAGAGAGGTAATAGAGCGGAAACCGAGTACTCTTTCTCTCTTGAGTACGGCGTTGCAAAAGTTCTTCTACCGTTATGCACGAGATCGGATGATGAGGTCGTTGTACCTTCCATTCTTCACAATGATAGAAAGACGTGATGATCTAAGATCCGTCGAGGAACAAGGCGCAGCGTTATTCCTACGATCTATTCGACGAGCGATCGGCCGATCGAGCGTGTATCCCTTTCACGTTCGCCTCGCGATCTCTTAAAAGTCTTGATTGACAGCGGGCACGTCTGGTACTGGATGTTCCAAAAGTCGCGCTCTTCCGCGTTCTACTGAAGTTTATTTAGACTGGAAGTCGATTTCATCTTTAAAGAGATGATTTTATCACTGTTTTCCTTGAGCTCCGGCTTCGAGCAGCTCGCAGTAGCTCGGTGGAAGTGCGCGGCTGTCAAAACAACGTGTCTCCTGAATTGTATCTGCATGTTGCCTCCCTTTTCAATTTCTACTCGCGTCCGTCGTCTGGCCATCGTCTTATCTTATTCGAACGAGGCCGTCGGCATATCAACGCTCGAATAAACTCTTTATCCACCGCGGCGTCTGTTACATTCCTCGAAGGTTACGTCGCCCAACGTGGCCCAACCCAATTTTTCGTTGGATCGATCTCGCTGTCTCTCGAGTACGCGCGATCCCGCTCGGGAAAAAAAAGTTCTTCTGCCGTCGCGACCGTGGGTCCTTCTCTTTGAAATAATTTCGAGGGAATGGGAGCAGTCTTCCATAAACGGATTCGCCGGACGGGAACCCGATGGCAACGGAGAACTCGAGACTGCCCGTCGTGTAACGTGGTCAGGGTCTGGCGAATTCAGGTCGGCCACGCACCGCGAGCGGACCTTAAAGGGCTCGACCAAGGACGGCGCTCTGAAGGACGGGTAGCCCGGGCCGGGAATGGGACGGGAGTAGAGTAGATCATCTCGGCGAATTTATGGCCAACGGACGTCATCGCAGAAGCGGCGAGAAAGCGCGCGTCCGTGTCTCCTTTTTCGTTCTTATCATAACGCATAATGTACTCGCGCCGGGTACTTCGACGGAGATTGAATCGCTGGATGCGTATTGTAAAGAAAGTGTGCATATTTGACGTTGATGATTGAAAAACCGCGAGAAACGACGATTAATCAAATGCAAATGGGCTGATTACGTCTCGCTAGACTCTACTTGACGAAAGGGCAGAGTTCGCCGAAGCGTCTGGCTGCAAATTGTAATCGACGCTACGTACATATCGCAATAATCGATGGAAATATAATTTTTTTTCTCTTCCACCGAGCGTTAAGTGTCCCGAGAGTTGATAATATCCAGGCGCTTTAATCAACTTTCGAAAGATTCCGGGTCTGTTTTCATTCGCGCAAAGGCAGAGGTGGAAGTAGGAACATCAAAATTCACGGTTATATTTAGCTTGTGAGTCAGAGCTGCCAGCGGCTTACGTTATTTTCGACAATCGCGGCACCGGATTTCGAACAGCAACTATCACGGATAGCCATTGATGTCGCGGATATCTTAATACCGATCTCTTTCTCTGTACAAAGCAAAAGTAGGGACGAAATTATACAATTGCGTTTAAAAATATAAATATGATATAACGATGCACCGAGTGTACCAAAATTCAACTTCCGGAAGCCAATCACAATAAGTGAAGAAAGAATAGAGATTGCTCTCGTGTGCGCTAAAGATGGCGAAATAAATTTTTTTAATACTGATGAACCAATAATGTGACTGGCGTATTTTTGGTACGTTCTCCGGGGTTTAACTTGCGGTAGAATCCGTATACGATTCGGATGTGAAAAATTCAAGCGTTGAAATTTCTAAAGTGTCCGAAAGTCGATAAAACGTTTGAAATCACCGTCATCGTGTGTACCGTGTAACCCAGATCTCGTTGCCGGGTTCATCGAGCAACAGATCGGGGATGCTTGAAGTTTGGCAAATCGGTCACTCCAATGACTAGTGGTTGCAGCTGGTAGGGTTGCGTAATGCTCGTCTCTCGTAAGACGATATCCGTCACGAAACTTAGATCCTGCGAAGAGAGTTGGGTTACCGTAGTTCGTTCTCGGCGTCTCTTCCCTTTCCGTTTCATTTTCTCCCTCGCTGTCTTTTCTTTTTCTTGTCGGTCCCGCGACGGTCTTGGGTTACCCGCGCACGCCTTTTTTCCCGCGGCAGTTTTGTTCCTTTACGGCCGGGCGCGATCGATGTCCCGAGGAGCACGGCAGCAAGAGAATTGCGTTAGCGGATGACCGCCGTCACAAATCCATTTCGCGGCTCGCTCGTTGGGAGAAGAAATCCAGCGGTTTACCCCTCGATTAAAAGACGCTTTTTCCTCAGCAATCATAGAAATCCCGAGTATCAGATTGTAGAAAATATCTCGCTGTGGAAATTAAGGAAATTAACAATGAGAACTGAACAACGGGAGTTGACGAGTCACCGCCTCTCCCTCTATTAGCTACAGGAAAGTAAAAGTGCGAGAAGCAAAAGTCCTATCGAAAAGGTCAGCGAGGCTAATTACATCAGCCTCGCCGTCGTTATCTCGGCTACTTTTACATCCGTTTATCATGCCGACCGGCCGCGAAGCGGTGCCAAGGAATTCATACCTGAAACTTATGCAAGGCAGCGCGCGGCGCGCGCCTTGAATTCAAATACGGGATCCGCTAGAGTCTTACGACGGTAGAACAGAGAGAAGGAGAGGAAGGACGCGTGTGATGCAGACAAGTTGCTTCGCGATGTCGGGCGAACTTTTTTTTTGCTCGGCGCAAGGTTAAGGCTCATTTCGTTTGGCGTATATCGCGGACGACGACAGGTAGACTCGGTCGCGGGGGTCCCTTCGTCAAACGCGAACGCGATGGAGAAGACGCTCGAACCGAAGCGAACGAGCCTAACTCGTTAGCGGCTTTTACGTAATGCAATTAGCACGGCAGGCCTCGCCTACCGTTCGCGACTCTACCTTTGATGTTGCTTGTCGCTCTAACGGGCGCGGTCGTATATCCTGCACCTGCATTTTTCTCCCGCGTGACAAAAGCCGAAGACACGCTTCAAGAAATGTCATCGCGATTAGCGACAAAGGGCGAGAGTGGTCCGCAATAGACATGTCGAAATCGAGAAAAACTATCGAATATGAATATATTCGCCGACTTAGAAAGTATCGTAGTTAACACCGAATAGTCAAGATATCGAATGAAAAGACAAAGTAATAAAGAGCCAAGACAGGATGTTAGTGTCTAAATAATTTTAATTTAAAGTCTATTGCGAAAAATTAAGCTTAATTTAATTAATTGAAATTAATTGAACTCGAGACACTTGCTGTTAAAAATTAGGGAGATTTTGCTCAAAGGTTCAGGTTAAATTTAATTAAGCTCCATCTTGAAATATGTTACATTAAAGAGATTGAAGTGTCAAAAATTATCTTTAGATATTTAATGCCGAGAATTAGCAAGATTTTCTAACGTGTCAAAAATATGGTTTTGACAAAAATTTAATCCATTTGAAACTTCAGAAGATTACTTGACCATGTCTGGCAAATTTTTATGTTTAAACTCACAACAGGACTCACAAACCCACCACAGGACCACAAACCATGGTCGAAACGTTGCGAGTTTAAACATAAAAATTTGCCAGACACGGTCAAGTAATCTTCTGAAGTTTTTAATTAATTCTGGCGACTTACAAGATTTCCTTCAATGTCGTTTAATCAATTTGATTAAACTGCGCCTTGAGATATTTAATATTAAGTATAAATCAAGCTCTTGAGTCAACATTAACCGGCCAATGTTTTAATACAGAAAATTTATTGCGAAAAATATTACCTCAGCCAGGGTTTGACTTCCCTTTTCTCCACGCGGGCGTCTCACCAATTCGGCCACTGAGGCCTTTTAATATTAAAGACCACTTTAATATTAATGTCGTCTATACACGTAGCTAACATCTTTTTACTGCCATTGCGATAAACATATGCCTTGGTGGTCGAATTGGTGAGACGCCCGCCTAGAGTGTAGGGAGGTCCAGGTTCAAACTCTGGCTGAGATAATTTTTTGCAATAAATTTTCTGTATTATTAAAAATGGCAGGTATGGAAACACTGACGTTTTTAATATTAAAGATCGAGGAGACTCTCGAGGGTCTCGAAAAGATGGCTGGACAAATCTAGGATGTTTCGCGTCTACACGCTATAGTGCCACTTTTGTTGTTTGATCATGTGAGTCAACACTTGCATACCGATTCTCGTCAAGGCGAGTCTGACTCGCCTCGCTGTCGCACAAACTCCGCGATTTCTAAATACGTCGCTGATCAAACTCGCCATTAACATGATGTAACGACCACGCGTCGTCGTAATAACACACCGTTTACACAAAACTACAACGGCAACGCTATCCGTGAATTGTGCAATATTTGCGCGCATCTTCGGGCAGCAGCGCGCGCTACCGAAGTCCCGCGCGACTTGAATCCAGAATTTTTTTTTATCAGGGATCTAGTTCTACGTGCATAAAAATATTATGAAGGCGCTCTACAGCGTGCAACGAGCGGTGCGTGCTGGAGCCTGATAAGTCGACTTATATCTCATGCATATTTCATCGGGGCGCTTTTTTTCGGTAGAATCTAGGTGAACTGCTTCGCGACGAAGAAACCTTAGCGCAACGGGCGTTAATGCTTCGCACAAGCGTGTATACGTTCGAAGAATTCGGGACAAAGAAATATCCGCGCACATACGAGCGGCGATTCCGCCTCGTGATAAAATGTAAATTCTCATCGATCGCTGAGTCAACGAAGAGCGCTCGATAGAGCCCCTCGTTGCGAGCAACAGGAACCTCGAAACGGATATGAAGTGGAGAGGTGGATGTACGGAGCGCCTTTTCCCTTTAAATATTTTCCCGCAAAACTTTGCGGACTGGAGGAACTGGTGGCTCGACGGAGAAACGGGGTCGAGTGAGAGGAAGGATGACTCGTAAGGATATAAGCTTGAAGATATCGATTCGCGTCGACGTGTTGTGGAAGGTGGAAGCGATGGCGCGGTCCCCCATCCTCCCCGTCACGTCCTTCGTTCCCGCTGCGTTTCGACCCCTTTACGACTTTCCACGCGGTTCTCTCGCGAGACCCCAGGCGTCCCGAGATTGCGACGTGGATCTCGTAACCTACTTCCGAGAACGATCTTTCACGGGCGAGAGCCCGGTCTCATTGTCCGTCCCGTCTCGATGAGCCTCCGCGACGTAGTTGTTTGTTCGTTCGGTACTTGCGTGTAATTTCTTCCAATCTTGGAATACAAGAAATATACTTTAGAAGAATGTATCACTATAAATTTCTCACTCATTTTTAGAATTAATATTCCAGTACTTGATTAACCGATCGAATGAGCCCGCTCTCGGCAATTGAAGTTCCTCTATTATGAGATAGGCTCCTAATATAAGATAGACCGAGGGATTCGAGCGACAGAGGTGTTCGATTAAATTTCGAAAAACTCGAGAAAATTATTTTTCTGAAACACGAGTTTGTCGTGTTGCTGTTTGTGTCGCGTAGAGCCGATATCTCGGGTAATCCAATGCGTATGTCATCGAGTCGCGGGTGGAGAAACGAGATCGATGTCTGACACGTTATACTAGCCCACGCGTCTACTAAGGAGACGAAACCTACGCATGGTCGAACGGGGCATGACTCACCGGGTCGAACGCATGAGTAATACGGTCACTATTACGGGGTGCTCGCGTTGCCCTATTTCGAGATCGCTCAGGGAAATTGCTCGTTAGAGAGTCACGAAGGACACTTATCAGGCGTATATCTTTTCGGTTGTCGCTCGTGAAAAATTCGGCCGCGATAAATTTCTTCTTGCCGCATGTGACACGTGAATTCCTCGAGAGAGAAACCCGCATGTGTGACATGGCGATGAGGCGCAAGGGTCTCTCGGGATCGTTACCCCGACGTTATTCGTAATGATAAATCCGAGGGGGAAACCGCTGAGGGCATTGTGGTGTACAGATTTGCGGCATTACCGGGCATTACTAGGGCATTTTTGGGGCATTACGTCTTAGGCTGAAATCACATGGTGCAGAATAGAGCTGCGGAATAGAACGTGCGTCATAGAAGCAACCAATCAGAGCCAGACATTTCCGTCACTCGTTGATACGGCAAAGCTCTGATTGCCTGTTTCTATAACGCACTCTCTATTCCGTACTCCTATTCTGCATCATGTGATTTCAGCCGTACTGAGGCATTATAAAGATAAAATCAGATACAATAAGATAAAATAAGATAAAGCAAGATAAATAAGATAAAAGAAGATAATAAGATAAAGTAATGCCCACTGGGCATTAGTGGGCATTGGTGTACAAGATTTTGGTTAGCGGTTTCCCCCTCGGATAAATCAATCGCGACGTGCTTCGGGCGCACGCGAGGCGAATGTTAAGGAGAACTTGTAAGTTTGCGAGTTAGTAGCGAGCATGTCTCACGGCATACATTCCGAGGGGATCGCAGACGGGATATCGATATCCATTAACAATTAATAATAATTGATACTAATAATAAACTCGCTGTACGTATGGAATTGCGGCGCAACTTGGCTGCTGGCCACGATATATTTTAGTTTCAAGGCGGCGGAGACTGCCGCATTAAAAGGGTTGATTGTAACATCGTCTGGAGTCAGTCAATTGCAATTAAGAATTTTTTAAATTATTTTCTACACTATGTGTGATATATTTTTATATAGGATAAAAATTGTTAAACCCTTTAATTCAAACTATGGTGAAAAAGAATATTATTGTCGCCAATAGTTGATTCGTAGGAAGAATTTTTATGACTTAAACTGGCTAAGTAGTTTATTTAATAACTTATTTAAAAAGTGGAAGTTATTGAATAAACTACTTTGCCAGTTTAAGTCGTCAAATAATTGTTTCTATTGTCAAACTGTGTTTCAAGTTGATAGTGTAATCAGGTGTAGAATTATTACGTAACGCCTTGCGCATTCGATTGCGTTTACCTGCCAATGGATCGTGCGAATAGTGACGAGTGTAAAGTTTGTCGTAACATATTATCTCGTTTAACGCAATGCAACTTTTTCGTCTGTCCAGGTCCACGCCAAGCACGAGGAGAAGACGGAGAGCAAATCGGTGTACAGGGAGTACAACCGAGAATTCCTGTTGCCGAAGGGAACCAATCCCGAGAGCATCAAGTCTTCCCTGAGTAAGGACGGCGTCCTTACCGTGGAGGCACCTTTACCGGCGATAGGCTCCGGCGAGAAGCTAATCCCGATCGCACACCAGTAAACCATCAATCCAGTGACGAATTGCGGAAAGTCGATTTCTAATTTTCTGCCTTAAATTCATCCCGGTTCCAATCACCATACCACTTATCCAAATTGGGCCTCTCCTTCGTAAGTCCCTTATTCCTTTCTTTACTATTGTCTTATAGTAACTCAAAGATGATCCATTCTCGCGAGGTTTGACCAATTTAAACAGGAAAAAGCGACCCCGCGCGCCAAGTGTCTGGTGCGCATCGACTTTCGTAAAAGATTTAAAAAGAGAAGACGAAATCAAACGTAGTGCAATGTTGAAGTGCTATAAATGTGAAAAAAAAAGTCAGCTAAAATGTTTGATAAGATATTTTTCCTTTTTCATACGAACAGCTTTATTCCTTTGATACACAGGATATTTCCCTCGTAGAAATAGTAATTCTTTTTTCGATCAGAAATGTGCATTGCCTTTTGAAACGATATTAAGTAGATTTTCTTTTTTAAGTTATGAGCTGTATTGCTTACTCGTGCACTTGCGTACCAACGAGTCGGAAATTCATGAATCAACGATCGTTTGTAAACGGTTAACTTATGTATGTGTTAGTTTAGGTGTACGTTAAAAGACTATAACACAATGCTTAGAATATATGACCATTATATTGATATTATTTATGAATATTTTAATATTTCCGAAACGTGCGCAACAACACACACGCAGGCTCAACAAATACACATACGCACATACAACACACATATACACATACACAAAACATAATGTTTAAAGGTAATGCGAACGCAAATTTAAATAAAAATCTATGATAAATGTAACAATATAGCGAAATTATGTTTTTCAGATGATAAAAGAATAATATATAAAAACATTGCCCCTCCCCACAAATGCAAGGTGAGTGATACTCTGCTCGTAGATTAATACAATTTTAAATTTAAAGCGCTTTGATACGTAATCTTTCAACGTGGTATTGACAAGAAGATACACATATTATCACAGACTTGCAGTTTATTTGTCTTTATTAACAAAATATTCTTCTCTACACAGATGAATCCTTTACGTTATATTCTTATAAAATTGTTACACAAGGTCTGTGCCATTTCTTTGAAATTAAAAACATTTAAACATCTTGGCTTTCAAGCTTTCGCGGCTGCTCATCCGGAAGCCATTGCGACTGAACATTTAAACATTATTTCGGAATAAATATACACTTTATGACTTAGTCATGCTAACTAAACAAATATCGTTAACATCAAGTAAATTCGATAATGATCAAATAATTATACAAATTATAATGGATACTCTCTAAAGTTTTGGAGTGAAATATTCGCTCTATTGGGGCGAATATTTCACTCCATGGTTCTATTTTAACTCCCAAAAACTTTAGTGAGTACGCGGACTACTTCATTGTTATAGACAATCGATAAAAATGTATGCATGATATGTATAAAATAGTGGAAATTTACAAAACTTATTTCACGAATTGTATGACATCGTGTGTATTCACATTATTTGTCATGGATTGTATGGGGCTTTGCTTGTTCGCGAGAAAGAAAGGGGTGTTTCATCTCGGATCTATAGACGAGATTACAACACAAAGACTTCGTGAAATGTATTGTTCTTTTTTCCGAGTGTTTCGAAGAATCGTGATAGAAGTAAAAAATATGGTCTTACATTATTCATCTATATCGTATGAATAAAACTAGCGAATGTACGGTAAATCGAGACTACAAACGATATTACAGCTTTACCGAGAAAAAGGGAAGTCAGTCTCGCAATGATAAACTCTACAATACCGTATAAAACGTTTTCGTTTCGTATCTAGACGCTCTCTCACGTAACACGGTTGTCGCGACGAGGGAAAAGTCGCGGATTAAAATTTCTATATACTTGGAACCTCGGCGGAAAATAGCGGCGCGTCGGACGCGGTGAACGACGGCGATTTACCCTCCCTCGCGATGCGCAACGCCTGGTGAACCGACACGGTGTCGAGTTCCTTTTGATTCGGCTTTTCGTTATCCAGGCAGATGTCGGCGGCCCTTTTACCGAACGGCTCTAGCACCTTGACTCTGTAGTCTACTATCGTCGACACCGGATTGCCCGTCAGCCTAAGGTTCTCCAGGCACGGCAGATGACCGATATGCTTCACCTCCTCGATCTTCTCGATACGATTACAGCTCACGTCCAGTCCCTCCAACGAATACAGTTTCGAGAAGCTGGCGAGCGACGTTAGTTTGTTCTGCGACAGGTCTATGTAAACGATATACCCGAGTTTCGTGTGAAGATCGTCCGGCAGACTGGTGAAGTTGTTCGACGCGAGATACAATTGGGATAATCTCGGCAGCAACGTCACGTTGGAGATCTCGGATAGGTGATTGTTGTTGAGCGTCAGGCATTCGATGTGCGGCAGCAGCTTAATCGCCTCGTCTATAACTTCTATGCGATTATCGCTGAGATCCAAGTGCGTCACCTTCATCCACACGTGAGAGTCGTTGGCGTTCTCGATATTCTTGTGCACCTCCTCGCACATGGCCAACTCCACGATGTTTCTGAGCTTGGTGTTGGTAACTTTCAGCATGAGCACGGTGTCCCGAAGATTTCCCATGTTGTAAATCTTATCGACCGGATATCGATCGATCGTTAGGTGCCGCACGTTTTTGAAGGTGGATAAATCAATGGACAAAGCGGACGGATAAATGTTACTGGTCTTGTAAGGCTCCGAGCTTCCCTCAATCGTGAGGTCAGTTAATCGAGAATTAAAATCCAAAACGTGACTGAAGTCGTATACCTTATCCACAGCTTCCAGCAAAGGGCACGGCTGCTTCAATCTTTCGCTGATTGCGTACAGCTGAAAGTGAAAGTAAGCAGAGGTTAGTGTCTTCCTGACGCAAATTCTCGACTATTAAGAGCTGAGCCGAGCTGAGCTGAGCTACTTGAATTACCTGTAAGGGATTGAACTTGTAGCTCGTCGGAGCCTGTAGCAGAGTGTCGCCCGTTACGAAAAATTCCAGCGCCAAGGTCTGCACCAGGAAATATATATCGTACTCGTGCAGATCCAGGAACAGAGCCAGCTCCCTGGGCATTGCCTTCTTCAAGTAGTTATAAACGGCATTGAGATACGCCTCGAGACTCTGCCTGCGCTTCTCCACGAAGACCTCGCACTTGTTGCCTATGAGCTTCTTCGGTGGCAGAATATCCTTCTCGACGCAGTACTTGGCGACAAAGTTCTCGTGCAGCGCCGCGAACGTGCTGTACCTTTGATGAAAGAGAGGCCATTATTTTTTTCTCCCTTTCCCACTTTTATTCATTATAGTTATTTTTGTTGCACATTCCGATAAACTTGGCGCCCCTTGCCTCATTCCCTTCATTTTAATTAACTTCGCTTTATAAGTTATACTTTATAAGTATATAAAGATAAGCCTTATCGGGTTCTTAGCCTAACGATATTGCGTGAAATTTATCTACATTGTTCAGCCCAGCGAATGCGCTGTTACCATCGTTCTTAAAAGCTCAAATCAAAGCTACAACAACACAATCACATAATTCAATTGATAATCATTTTATCAATATCGACGCCAACAAGAAACTATAGAATCGCTACAGAAGATTAATGTAGTACCAACTACCACACATATGTACGTAAAAATTCGAAGTTTTTGCACACGGGAGCCGCGAGACAAACGGGAATGAGGCGCAAAATCTGGTCACGAGGTGGATGAGGGCGAGGGGAGGGGAGGGGGGCGGAGCGCCTCAGGGTCACCTGTGTTTCACGGTCCATTTGATCGATGCGATTCCAACCTCGATGCAATAATACGTGACCCCGTCGATCGTGTCGACCGACGGTATTTTCAGGTGGACGTTCTCCTGATTCAGCAGCAGGCACGCCATGACACGGGCCGCGTGACGCGCGATTTCGGCCTGTTGAAAACACGGGCAAAGGTCTCCGCCCCGCGGACGAACGGCGGGACCGAGGGGACCGGGAGGTTATCCTCGCGCAATCGGGCAGAAGCGCGTATCGCGGGGCGCAGCGCGTTCAGAGGCGGAGCCCGCGTGTCCCGCGCGCCGCGCGGGGCATCGCGATTACGTGACACCTCCTCCGCGTTTATCACCGACGTACCTCGCGACGATCCTGCGACGTTGCTGCGAGACGGCAGACGCGCGGCGCATCCGTCACGCGAGTACGCATCTTTGACAGCTGTTCGCTGATCGCGAGCGATGAGAGGTGGGGGGGGGGGGGGAGAGGAGCAACTCTCGCCTCTCGCGGCGAGCGCGCGGACATACGGATGGAGTTCGGTCGGTCCATAGACGTAGAAATATCTAGACAGAGCATAGTGCCACGGGTGTGGTCCACAAAGGGTGAGGGGAATGAAATGTCTATTTTAACGGACATGAGGTACCAAGATGGCAACACTCTATAGTCACGGAATGTGGTCTATTTTCACGCCTTGAAAAGACTAAAGCTTTCTCACTTGGAAAAAATACAAAAATAAGTTATACATATATATAAATATATATAAGAATTATCTCTATATTGATTACTAATAGCGTACATATGTATTACATCGAATTAGTACACACCATGACCTGTCATGGATACGTATTTCCGCGTCGCTCCTCGTAACGCGATCATTTCCTATGCAACGCGATCGTCTCGTACGAGAGTTAGTAACGTCTATCAATCGCAATTAAGTAAATGTCGCGATCTGTAATCATGTCATTCTGCGGCGATTTGTCGAGAAGAATATCACGCTTTTTTATAGATAATCCCCTCCTCGGGTACTACCTTGTCGTGGTGGAGGGGCTTAAGTACCCCGAAGAGTTACTCTCTAAAAATCAATCAGTGCATTATCACTGAATCAGTGAATATTCACTGTTTTCAGTGATAATCCATTGATTGATTTTAGGGAGTACATACTCTAAAGACGGGACAACCAAAGGTACCCATCGCGTTCGGGAGTGCCGTATAAAATAATCGCAGTAAAGCTTTGTAACCGGGAGTGTAAAATCGCGCGAACGATCTTTCGCGAGTGTGCCAGAGGACAGTCTGAGAGGAGGCGGAGGTCTCGGAAAGGCATCGGGCGTCGTCGGAGCATCTTTGAGGTAAATACTTTTCATTTCGTATAAAATTTATCTTCCTCCTGTCTGTCATTATCTTACCACAATTAAAAATAATAATTGGAAAGAGATCACTGTTTTAACATGAATTTTGTAATTGTATGTTACAGACTGCTGGAAGAGTCCCAGGAGTTCCGAAGGACAACCTGAGTGGAGGAGGAGGCCTCGGAGAGGCTTCAGGCGCCGGCGGAGCAACTTTACGGTAAATATTATTTTTCCTGTTTTGTAAAATTAATGTTTTCCGGTGTATTGTTGAATCATTTTATTTCACCATAATTTTAAAATAATGAAAAAAATTAAAATAAAGATCTTTTGCGGTAAATCTTTCACGGTAGTTAAATCTAACTGAATAAAAAGTTAGATACGCGTTAAAATTATATTTTGCAAAATTGGTTTTGTTAAATATTGTTTTTTAATATAAATTTTATATTTGTGTTACAGATACAGATAGACAACAACTCCGCTGCTGCGCGTCGGGTCGGTGAGTGCGATTTTTTTTTATTAAAGGAAACGAATCTACACCTCGTAAATCGTAGATTGTAGATAGTAGAACGTAGATTGTAGATCGTAGTTAAATATATCTCGTAGATTCGTTTCCTTAAAATGGACAGGTCATGATAAAATAATCACTACATTTAATATTTTATTAAATTTATTCAACATATCGGAAATGAGTGGTTGAGATTTTTAGAATTTACGGGAAATATGACTTTGGATTAGTTTATGAAACTTTTCCATTGTCCATTTAAGATTGAAAACCTTGTTGGAGAACGAGTTAATCCCTGGTTTTCATTGTCACGGATTCCCGGAAGCAACGGTTTTGGCACGAGGGCGCGACGTCGATTCGCGAAATTAAT